AATATGATTATCTATATGAATAGACCAAGAAAAAAAGCAACCAACCAACACATCAAGAAATAAAAAAAGGATCATATTTCAAAAGTCATTATTCATTCTCTTCGAATCTTGTATCCATTCATTACTTAATCAAAGTCTTTCAGTATTTAATATTAAAAACTTTTTTCCCGGTTATATTTTATATTTGATGCAATATTGATCAAAATCGCAATAATGTTTGTTTGCTTTTTTTCTTGGTCTATTCATATAGATAATCATATTTTAATAAAAACGTGTCTCATAAAATGACTATCTTCGTTGGTAATCATCTTGATCATTCGAGCGTATCAAACACGAGGTATTTGTTTATTTAAAGAAATGAATCTACAACGTAAGTCAACACAAAATAATTACATATTATATATATTTTAATATCACGTTTCAATATGTCGCTTTTTAAATGTTGTACAATTCATTCTAAAAGAGCTGGTAAAAACCTATATAATGAAGAAGATACCAATAATGATGTTGATACAGAGCGAGAAAACGAACAAGTAGAAAAATATGAAGGTCATGATGGCGAGGATGAAAATGATGGAACAAAACTGATTTATTTTGCTTGTGAAACATCAAACCAACATATTATTGACATACTTCGGAAAATAAGAAGTACTCTTGAAGTTAGTTAATTTATATATAAAGATTTTTTTATCAAAGTATCTAACTATAAATACTAATTACAGATATTTACCATGGAAAAAGAATGCATCGATCATATGGCATTAATAAATGATAAAATTTTTCTTGTCATTGATGGTTTACCATCGACAAGTTTTTTTACAACTATTGAATCATTAAAACAAATTGATTCAGTATTTTTTTATTCTACAATACCTGATTTAATTGATGATATTAGCAAACAAGAACATAGTTATCTTGTTTATTTATGTGAAACTGAAGAAATACTTATAGATAATATAAGAAAATCTCGTGAAGCACTTGATAAACATATAAGTACATTGAGTATGTATAATAATAAAGATAAAGCAACACGAAATCTTTCGAAAGAAGCTGGTTCATTGTTATTTTTTAAATTAGTGAAAAATCTATTAAAAAATATGCCTAAAACAAATGAAGCCAAAAATACTATGATTACAACATGTCGAAATTATTATCGTGGAAATTTAATTGAATTAGCAAATATTGATGAATTTGATCGAATGTATAAATCAATTGATGCTATACCATGGTATATAAAAGATACATTTCTTAATAAGTAAGATTATTAAAAATATACAAAATAAAAATATTCTATTTATAAATATATTTCTTTTATATTTAGATTGATTAATAAAGCACTTCGTACAGAAGATATTAGTGTTTTATATCAATTTCGTTTTTATATTATGGATTTAAGTGAACAACTTGAAATGAAATTTTTCGAACTTAAAAAAAAACAAAAAGATATTCTACGACTTTATCGATATTCACAATTAAGTCATGATGAAATAGAAAATTTTCAGAGAAATATAAGAAATTTAATATCAACCAATGAATATTTATTAACAAGTAGTAAACATTCAATTGTATATGATTTTGTTACAAAATATTCGAAAAGAAAAGATTTTGAACGAGTTTTATTTGAATATGAAATTGATTTAAATATTATTCAAACAACCATTATTGCTGATATTCAAGAATATTCAACATTTTCCGAACAAGCTGAATTTCTAATTGATTTTGGTAAGAAAAGTTTCTTTTTAAATATGTCAAAAAATAAACTGTTTAGAATTTTTTTTCATGTTACAATCTTTTTTTTTCTAATTCTTATTCAAAATAATTCAATAGTTACTATGAAGATTTGTTCTTGTCATGTAAACTATTAAAATACTACGTAGGATATTTTGGAGCTGGATTCGAGTTTTTCTTGTATGGATTCGCCTGTACACCGGACCCAAAAAAAGAACGATGCGGACCAAGATAGATCTCGATGAGCTCTATCGATTCCACTATTTATTTGTTCTCTAGCAACCCNCGTAATGGTGTATTTTCTTTTATTGAGTTAAGTCTCATTACTTGCCATTTTTAAAAAAAAAACCAAGAACACAGTTCGATAGAGTAAATTTTTCTCCATAAGATAGGGTAAAATTTATTTCCTGCCCCTCTCAAAAATGTCAAGCACCAATCCGTGAAGGTTTGCTATTGATTCGATGAGTCATCGAGCTCAGCGTACATACCATATATCTATCTTGTCCAATCGTATATAGTAGATAGACCAGACATTGATTTGTTTAAAAAATACCCATCCTAGAAGGAGGTTGGTAGAGAGGACAGGGTGTAGCTGTGGATGTTGGATGAGGATGATTATCTCATCTCCACTCAAATTTCACACCCACACACTATTGTCGATCGAATAACATTACTTTGTTTGTCCGATAATAATGATACATCTGAACAAATAAAACAATTTTTTACATATAGTTTTCATTTTCATCAATTTGTTCATTTAAAATCTCTGTTCGTATACAATATTCGATCGGAGATCATAATGAATAAAATAATGTTTGATTTATCACATTTACCCAATCATTCCCATCTAACTATTGGACAATGTTATTTTCCATATTCATCAGGATCGAATGATGAAAAAATTCTTACTTATGGAAATTATACTTGGACTTTATCTAAAACTTGTTGCTTTTTCTATAAAAATTGATTATAAATATCGACAATCACATCATTTTGTCGATAGTTATCGTCGTAATCAAGGCATTTGCATCAATTCAAATGTAATTTCAACAACACTCGAATATTTATCCTTGATCGGTATTCGAGAATGCAATATTTCTCTACTGAATCTATTCGCCCATACACCATGACTTCGTTATCTATCAGTCAAGAATTGTTCACATATACAAATAGATCAACTTGAACCAATTTTATCTATAATGCATTTAAATTTAAGTCTTAAATAATCTATATGAAAATTTCCGTAATTTTTTACAAAATATGCCGATTTTACGTCATTTCAAAGTGGAACTTAATCGAACATATCCATCTATTGATGAAAGATTTTGAAAACAAATAGTTCGGAATAATTTACCAAACTTTTAAGGATTACAATTTTTAACGCATCTAGATTTACCCAATCTGTCAGACGAAGAACAAAACGTTGATATGATTCTCAACGCTTATCGAACGTTGTTGTCTTGTTCAATATGATTGGAATGAAGATAAACGATATGCCAATCTTTATACTCTACCATATGCTTTTGATCATTTTTGTTATTTATCAGCTCTTCAATTGAAATCAAATTCACCCTATCCTAATAATGATCAATCATATGCATATGTACTTAGTTTCATGTATAAACTTCCTTCATTGAATTTATCTTTTTCAAATTCGATCTAATTTTTGCATATTCAACATCTTTCAATAGAATTTCCGATTAATTCTAATTTTTAGTCTCTAATTCCGACACTTGATCATCTAGTCTCACTCGATTATACTATCAGACAATCTTGATGCATATTGTCGATATCAACTACAAGATTTACTCGATCGAGCTCCTGGTCTCTTATCAATACGTCTTTCTTGGAAAATATTGACAAGTTCTCTAAAAGAATTATTTCGAAATAAAAATTGTTTCGTTTATGAATTGGAATTATTATTCTATCGTCAATCATTAAATCGAGAACAAAGGTATGATGGAGAATAATATAGTACCTGATATTCATTGTCAAGTATTGAATTCGAAAGTCGAAAACTAAACATGTGCACATGTTCTTATTCAGACAATGATTCATCTTCGAACATTAAATATTCGATGTCACAAGGGCAAGTTCAATTGATGTAAACGATCGACGGAAGATGGATTGTGTTAGTGGATGTAAGAACAACTCTCACTTCCATTGCCTACGATGAAAATGTCTCAACAACATAAGATTATTCGATTATGGATTCGTTAATAATCATAATTTTATCGAATATTCGTTATTTTATCTCTGAACATTTGTTTGTTTACATCGCACCTTGTGACTCCGATGCTTCAAAATTAGCTGCTTCTTTCGATAATTCACCCAGTGAACTGAACTCCTCTTCCGAGATGTCGGTTATGTTCATTCGAACGAATAGTTCATTTTAATGAATCGATCCATTACGAATTAAGCCATTTTGTTAGCCTGTAAATATGTACATATGCACAGTTTAAACTCACTCGAAAAACATACATGTAGTTGACTTTTTTGCCATGAAATCAAATTAAAAACATGGTCTAAACGTACAATTGCACGATGCTAAGATGAACAAGTCAGCAATTCGTTTATGTATGTTACTAAATAATCACAACGCACGACAATTGCAAGAAACACGTCGATTGAACCGATACTCAACACTGGCTTGAAAGTTCACCGAACTCCTGAGAATCAAATTATATACTTGTTTTCTTTGTGGCTAGCGAAGCACTTGAAATAAGAATATTCTGCTCTATTGATTATCTTGATCATGATGAACTTGTGTTGTTTCTTTTCAGATATCGGGTCTACTTTTTAGCAATTTATTGCCTTTGTATTCTGATCTGATATAAGTGAGATATTAAGATTTTTATTTTCGAGAACATCTATTTGATGAATCTTTAAATCAATTTCACCTGAAAATATGATTGAAATCTAGAAAATTGATTCAATATCTCAACAAAATATAGGAATTTGATTGCTCTTTTAGCAGGATATAATAGACCTCTTTTAGAAGACACGATCCGAAGAAACCAATGTGATAATAGATGATAGACTACAGTATTACTTGTGTTATCGACGTGTTTGGTTACAGCAATACCTTGCAATGCGTAAAGTTATTTCTGCATTTACTAACCTAGCATCATAGACTGCTAATGATGGGCATATCAAAATATTTTCAGAAACATTCGTTTATACAATCAGAGAAAAATAAAGTAAAATATGTATACTTTACTTTATCGGATAAAGTAGAGTACGTATTTATCTTTATTCACGAAAGTAAAGTAATCATATTTTATTTTATTTTTTACTTATCGGATGGAAAATGCCGTATGTTTATTGAAACTGCGTGAACTTCACAGAGTCTTGTCTTCTTCATAAGAGCCTCGCCATTATAATAATTTCTGATTTTTTTACATCCTACTTTCCACAAACTTGTTTACAAATAATTATTATTATAAACTTTTCCTTTGTAAATCTTCTCGCTTTTCACCACACTACAATTTCTTCAACACTCACTTCTTTTTTATAACTTTGGTTTTTACAGTCTTTTTATTATTTCTTTTGTACTGATGGCGTCAAATTGGGAACCCCCTTCTCAGATTTTACCTCATCTATTTCTTGGCTCTTATTTATGCACCCACAACAAAGAGGAACTTCTAAAAGTTGGCATCAAGTAAGTTCTGACAGTTGTGTTTCATGTAAAAGTTACGTTCATTTACAGGTACATTCTAAACCTGACTGATTCTCCAAATTTGCATCCGAATTCTTTCATCTACCTCCAATGTCCTGTCAAAGATTCTTCTTCTCAAGATATCTTACCTTTGTTCGAGCAAGTGTTCAACTTTATTGATCAAGTATGATGTATCTGTCGGTTTGGCGTTTTCAGATAGTCGATCGTCATCATTTCTCATTAATTGTAGGCTTCACCCAATGCAGCGTGTCTTATTCATTGTCATGTGGGAGTCAGTCGATCTCCTTCTTTTGTTCTAGCATATTTGATGCACAAGAAAGAAAGAAATCTTCGAGAATCTTATGAATTATTGATCAGCGCTCGAAAAAACATATCTCCTAACCCTGGTTTCTTGCAACAATTGATGGCTTTTGAAGATTCTCTTTTTGGAAGTATATCAATCAATTTCTATGCAGATAACCCTTCAGATTGAAATTTACGTGGATGGTCTGCGAGTTAAAACATGTTCTAATCCAATAATACTCAAATTAGAAATTCAAGCATGTAATTTTATATGGAAATTACAAATAAAATCGAATATGTGAGGATGGGTATCTTGAGGGTGAGATTGCATATAAATTAATAATCAAAAGCTAGCAAAACGCGTTGCGGTTACGGTGTGGAGTGGCATGGGTGTGGGGTGTGGTGGTGGACGTAGTGTAGGTGCATATGTCATGTCTAAACTCGTTCCTACAATCACACCCACATCCCCACACCCTCGGTGCTACACTGATTGTGATAGGTGTTCTCAGTTTCTGTGTATCAGGTGTGATAATGGATCGAACACATGCCTATCTGTTGATGCTCAAAGTGTTACCAGTTAGCGCATGTGGTTTGTCTGTCTATTTCATAGCCATTCTTCGGCCTCATATGTTTTATCCACTAGCTGTTTCAATCGGCTTCAAGGATTTATTCTTGTTATCGCTCTTACCCGTCACTTTTGAGAGTGCCGTCGTATGTACTTATCCGGTACGTGGTGAATGGTCCACTAGATTACTCTTGTGTATTGGTAATGTTCTAGGGGCCATTTTATCTTCGTTCATGGTTATCTCATAAAACTGGTACCAGTCTATAAATCTGGCCATATATTTACACCTGCTTCCATATTCATCGTGGTTGTATTTTTTATCAGCGCATCGGCGCTATTCATCTACAAGGAGCCCTATCTGAGAATGGAGACTGAACGTATGACTATGGGTAGATCTTCTGTGAATGCGTAGCAAGTTTTTATTTGTATGATTTCTAGAGAAATTTAAGAAAAACGATACCAAACAGTGGATTAAGAACGATGTGACAAAGGTCCATATTTCAGTTCGATTTCGATACACCATATAGCACATGCCGTCTAGCTAATTTTAGCTCTATATAATATTAAAAAAAAACTATTCAAGGTTTATTTTTTTTGGCGAGTTGCACCAGAAAAACAACGAGTTGTATCGAGCATAGAGGGCACGGAGGATTAGCGATTTATGAGATTTGTGAGATTAGAAAAATGAAAAATCACCGGAAACAATTGAAAATCATTGAAAAGCACAACTACTCACATACACTGAAACTGAAATAGCTTTGGATGATTTTTGACTGGTTTCAAGCTGATTTAAATCATAGAGTAGGTGCAGGTGTAGGATTTTGCATTACCTACGTTATATCTGCACCCCCGATCCATACATCCTTCTCAAAGAGGGTGTTGGTGTGAATGTGGGTCTTCTGATCGTCTACACACCCATCCGCATCCACACCCACATCCATATTCACGCCACACCCACACCCTTTTTCACTCATGTTAGCCTAACAAAGAAATGATGTTTCCAATAGTTCGCTTTGGTCATCTATCCATGCTCTATCATTCGATATATTGCATGCGAAAATTTTTCCACTTCTGGTAGTATAATCTTTGCAAACATTTATTAAATAATTCGTATTATTTTTGTTGATAGTAGATGGTTTATGCTAGAAGTCGATGTAGGCTAACTTTGCTACAAAAAGTCCAAATAAACTAAAAATTTAGGTTTAATAGTTTCAGATATTGTCCTGTCGAAAGCACATAAAATATGAAATTTTAAATTCGGAGCAGTGCTTTGGTTCCTTGGTGCTATGATGGATGCTCTCTTAAGTATTTCCGAAAGTAGAAAAAAAGGAAAAACAGCAAGAAAATTTTACTTTATTAATGCTAAAAATAGTTAAAAACTCGTTTATTCCCTTGTTTTTCTATGGATCACTCTAATTAGCCATCTATTGCATCCTATAAAGGAAAAAAATCGTCAATAGCTTGATGACTGACTGTTACAAACTTACTGAATGGAGTCAGCGTCATGTTCATTGAGGCTTGACCTAAAATGCGATTGTGAAAGCAATAACAAAGTATGAACACATAATCGTAATAGACATACTCATAACCATTAGAGCGAAATCTCTGTATTCCTTTCCACTTCCACACAATGATACCAACAATTATTAGCAAAATGACGATTATTGGAATAGCGATAAGCCACATTAGCGATGCACGTCGTTTTTGTGCGGCAGCTATTACAATAAAATAATGAAAAACATAATTATTGAGCTCATTCGAAAATATGTTATGCAATTCATTGATGCGAAGAATATTGGAACACCCAGAAAGAAATTAGTTAAATTTTCTATACGAATTAACGTTAACCTGATTCTTCTAGGTAATGATAACATTGAATTCTTCTTGATAGTTTAGAGAAGTCTCCAGAGAAAAATCAATCCCGGTTGGATTATAGTTCGACTCGCCCGCGATTGTCACTGATCCTTTCGGTAGTGATCTTAAACAATAATACTTTTTCTGTGATCAGGATCCAATACATCCTTTTCAGAAATTGTGCTTTAGATATAGTGAACTAGAAAAATATTAACAAAGACAGGAATACGTTCGTTATTGTTTGTGCTCTCCTTTGATAATGAATCTTACTAACGACAATGAAGCTGTAATTCTGCATCTCTAAACCTAACTCGGCTAAGACTCACATGAAGCCAACCCTCGGAACTGCGTATAGAGTATAATCTCTACTCAGCGAATACTTACGAATATTTTTTGCAAATAACAGTGCTTATTCTCACATATTTAAATTGATCGAGAGTTTTTGTGTTTTGTAAAACAATGTCAGTTAAAATATTTTCATAGAAGCACTCCTTAGTTTATCCTTTTATGTATTAATTTTTATCAAAAGAATACATTGAAATGTGAGTTTCTTGACATACAGATTCAGCCACATTCATCATCAGAATAAGCCTTTTTTGTTGAAAACTTTTGAATCATATTGTAGAATGAAAATGTTCTACAAAAGGAAATGCATCGAAAGTTACAGATGTTGAAAGCTTATAGATCTAAGTTATTTGCTATGTGTAATGATAGCCTTACCATTCTCTATCTCTCTCTCTTATAATTGTCAACTCTTTCCTTCTCGTACTCATTTACATGCAAGTTTGAATGAAAGTACAGGGTGGGAAATAATATTTTGCAAGGGGGGGTACCGCTATAATTTCAAATAGAAGACATAATGAATTTTATATCAAATGAAAGCTTGTCAAAAATGGAGTTTATTGATACTAAATAATAAGGATTATGAACACTTTTTAATATCGAACTTAAGAAGCTTTGAGAAATTTTATACTTTTATTGCGGTGGACAAGTAAAGTGCCAGTAATTGAAAAATGAATTAAAATGTTTTTCTTGGATATTTTTACATGGTTCGATAGAGCTCGTCGAGCTCTACAAAACTATATATATTAAAAAATTTTTGAATCTTTTTCTTTNATTTTTGTAATTTAACATCATTACCGTAGTATCGTTGAATAGAAGTATGACGATTTGAATCCGGTAAAGTATCCAGATTCGACAGCAATGATGTTGAATCATGCCAATAGACTTGATGAGGAAATAAGAAGTTACTTCTGCTATTGTTTCTGGGTACAAATATGAGTGGCCAAAAGCGAAAACGATCTAGAAGATTGAAAGTGTCGTTGTTAGCAATAATAAAACGATAGAGATGATGAATATTATCAATTGTATCGTAACACGATTGACGAAATGTCGCTGATAGAGTACAGAGTATTCTAAAAGAGGCAAAGATTGTCAATTGCGATGTAATCAAAAGGATAGACTCAATGGAATTGGTAAAACTTGTTTCTAAGATGGCTATTCCAGCAGTATGTGCATATTTTCGAAAATATAAATTTCAAGAATATATATTTTGGATGCTACGCTGATTGCAAAATTTTCAAATTTGTTTTGGTGCACTGTTATGAAGGTTTTACAAGAACGGCAATTTTCTTTTTTTATGAAATCTTGACATAGATCATGACATGAAAATAAGTGACCCATTTTGTAAGATCTGTGCTAAAAAGTAGCCAGCTTCTCAAGAAAGAACAGAGTTGAAAGCAATATTATCTCGAACGAGGGCTGGTAAAGACTTTAGAAATGCGTCATTTCTCCCTCAGTGTCATACAAATTTCTTTACTCTGAACTAAAGTTTCTGTCATGGGGTTTTATTTGATGTGGCACTCATATATGCGACTTTGGAGGAACAAAGTAGCATTTTTTTCAGAAACGTTGCCATTGCTGTCGAATCTGGATACTTTACCGGATTCAAATCGTCATACTTCTATTCAACGATACTACGGTAATGATGTTAAATTACAAAAATTTCTTTCTTAAAATATTCCAAATCGCATTCGAACCTACTATCGATGATTATCTTCCATTGTTGGCACAGATAACAAACATAAATGATATATAGCGACTTATTGTAGTGATCAAACGATTAGCATTTCAGCAAAATCGACAGATAGAAGTTCAAGGTAATAATTTTGCACTCATTGTATTCATAGCCATCAAAAATAGTAAAATTCATTTTATGTAGAATGATGTTTCAATTTGCCGTTTATTTCTTGTATAGGTGCGAAGAATACGAGAGTCAAATAATTATATAGATCAACCATTCTATCCACACGATCCTGAAATTGTCAATTTCTTGACAAACCCATTACCGATTGTTCAATTACCCGGTAAATAGAATTGTGTATTGTAAATGTCTTTTTTTTCTTAGATTTGATCCTGTCTTCTGAATTCAACAACGATTTCTGTTTGCTCTTCGAGATTCAAGCTCTAGCAGATGTTATTCACTTACAAGTTCAGATCAATAATGAATAACTACCAAAAGATCTATTCAATTTCTATTTTCATGCAATTGAACTCATTCAATATTTTCTTTTTACGAAATCGTTCGTAACCGAAGAGCGATCGAAATATTTGGCATCTATATTTGCTAGTATGCATTTTGTCTGTGCCGATCAAATTCAAATTTCATATCACTATCAAATTGATACCTTACTAATAGAGATATGTGACACTTATGTCGATGAACGAGCCGGACGATTCTACGTTTTGAAAAAATTTGAAAAATCCGAAACACCCAACATCGAGACTATGGCCAAATACCTTGTTCAAGATCGAGTAACCTTAGCCAAGCTGACATCCTTTATGATGGAACTATTACGAATGTATCAGAATGAAGACGAACAGGGATTTAATAAAACAACGCGATAATATCACTACTCAAGAGCACGACTACAGATGGATACTTACGAATGTGTATTTGACTCCATCAGCACCATCAAGCGAAGAAACTGCTTCGATCGACGAATCAATCGGCTGAGATGACTGAACGATTGATGAATGAATCTTTGTCCAAACGAAAGCTTCTGTCGCGAATAACAACGAAAAAAGACGATGAGAAGAATCCAACTTGTTTTTCTGCTAAAGTCAACACTACTGAGCCGGCAAAATTTTCAAATACGAATCCTCATCCAGCAAAGTAAAGACAATCAACAAATTCATCAAATGTTTCCAATTCAAATCACTCATCATCTTCTGGTCCGATCTCACAAGTATCAAGAGAATCAGATAACAGCCGTACGATAAAAGGTAAGCCTATTTTGAAATAAGATTATTACTTTCCATCCTGTTTTTCTTTCCGAATAGATAACGAGACCGCCGAGTCGACTGGTGACGTAGTCGACAGCAATACCGGTCGTCAAGGTGAAGAGATCGTTTTTCGTTTTCTACAATGGAAACATCCAGATGAATATGTCGAAAGAATGAATGCTAAACAAGAATCATGTCTTCCATATGATATTGAAATTAGAACAATTAATCATATTGAACTGATCGAAGTGAAAACAACACGGATCCATGATCAACATACGTTTCAAATATCGATCGGAGAAATTGAATGTCTACTTGCAAATCCAATCAATTATCATATTTATTGAGTGTACTATTCCAACGATCCTGATTCGATAAAAATTGCAATACTCAGTCAAGTGAAATATCATTTAGAACAGAAACAGCTTGCACTTTGTATGTTCATTGTGCAACGAGCCGATGAACATTAAAACTAAGCTGAAATGTATTTTTTCTCAGTTTTAAAATTTTCATAAATAATTCAGATGATATAAAACATGCTACGAACTTGACACAGAGTGTGGATGTAAATAAGTAATGGATCAACAACGACACCGATAGCCACATCCACACCCACACCCACCAGTAGTATTTCTTAAGTGAAAAATCTGTCAACATTTGCGCAGTTATCAAAATTAGCAACTCGAGTAACTTCCACAAAAACGAGTCTTTTTCAAAATTGACAGAAAAAAAGCTTGCTTTTAATTTTGATGTACTATTATTAACTTTAACGATAACATTAACAGATTAGAGTGTCTCCAATAGATCGTAGACTATCAGCATTATAAATAAAGAAATACTGTAATGGCATAGTTGCAGGATACTAGTAGAATAGAACACATGCCAGAGTGAAATTTCGTCTTATTATTATTAAGAATGGCTCACTGATAGCAATACTATACGATTGTCATCGGAAATTGTCTCAGAAACAATATCAAATAATCATTTCATCTTTGACAAATATCATCGTTGTTAAAGTGTCTTTATTGAAACAGATAACATCTATATTTTACCTGTTTTTAAGAAAATTCATTGAATTAGAAAATGATGATCTTCAATAATTTTCATGATATCTTTTTTTTGTGTTTCACTCAAAAGCTATTAAAAAGCACAAAATTCCACTGCTTTCGAATTTAAAAGCAAAATAGACCTAAAATTCTGGCTTTCGTAAAAATTTCTTATTTACATTTGAAAAGTTTCATTCCCTATGCTACTTGATGAGTTTTATTCAACCATAACGAAAAAAGCAATAAATACTGCTGCAATTTCGAAAGGGGTAGGTCATGTGCTAAATTTGTTAGTATGACCTTGAGAGAAATAATTTGACCCTGACATGATCAATCTTCTTGTATACAAGTACAAAACGTTTCATTGTAAGTTAAAAATTGATTGAAAACAGAGAAATTTATATGTAATAAACAGTTGCAGAAAGAGAAGCATAAATCATCCATCACGATTCTATTTCTTGTCTTACACATCTCTATCTGAAGATAGTACATGTGGATTATGCTGAATAAGTTGTGTTCGATAGAAAAAAAAAAGAATCTTATTTGCCTCATTTACGGATACTCAGCATCAAATAAGAATCATTCGAAATACTGGCAAACACTTTCGCTGATGATGTAGCGCGTCTTTATTGCGCTAAGTCGAAAAGTCTACATGAATGCATACCTTTTGTTATGAATATAACGTTTTGGTAAAAAATTTGCCAATAAAATGCGCAGTAGCGTTTGTCAAAGTTAAATATACTTGGATGATATTGATAAGTTACAACCAAACGATTATAAACAAAGATTATGCTGATTTCGTTATTATTTTTAGTTATTTATCTATTATTTGAAATCATGTTTTCTTATTTAATGGAGAACTACTACAACATGTTCTTATGTGATGTGTACAGTAAATTTTATGTTTAAATTTATCAAAAATTGAACTCTGTACAGCTTGTATCTCGCTTTAAATTTATTTGCAATTTCAATAGTTTCTTGTACTATTTGAATTCATTGTTTAATTATCAGTATTTACTTCTTTTTCTCATAAAAACTTATTAAAATTATGCTAACTTTAATTATAAGATGCATAGATTGGCTATTAAAAAAAAGATTAAATAATGATTAGAATTTGCTGTGTGAATATTGTACTGTTCAATAGTATGCTATATTTTTCTATAGTTCAACATATTTAATTTGATTTAGACATTTTTATGAGAGTTCTTTTTCTATCTTTCAAGTAAAACTAACTGTTATAATTTGTCGAATCGTAATAAATCAATAGTGTATGTTGATATGAACAGAAAACAATAGAAAAGAATAGTATCTTCGACAGGTTAACTCGCACAACTGCAGTACTCAATACATTCAAACAGTAAAGACGATTTGATGATGCCTTGATAATTTTATAATTGAAATAGAGATCCTAATGAACAGACTAAATATGGACTTCGATTTCAGCCCTTATTTAAAGATTTTAAAAACTTCGCTCTACTAAAACTGCAAAGAAAAAACATGCTGTCAAAAAAGTTACGGTTTAGATAATACACTATATATAGGGAAAAATGAAAATTTGAAGAATATAGAACAAAAGTTATTGAGAAAGAAAAAGATGTCGTGATGGAATTACATTTTTAAAAATGGTCTTTTTTTATTTAATTTTTATTTTTTCAGAAATTTAACTATAGGTCCTCAGAATAAAACCTAATGCGAAGTGTAAAAAAAAACCATCAAGGAAAAGCATTTTATGTACAACCCTTTTACTTATTAGAACATATGTCGAAAACAATACTATAAGAAAAAAAATACCATATTTCTATTTTCTTGCCAACAAAAAAACAATTAGTCATTCGAAAGTGTGATATTCAGTTACGCTCTCCTAGCGAATCTGGAATGTTCCTAAAAAACGCCAATTAATTCTTTACATAGAGCATTCATTTATACAATCAGAAACATCTTATTTGTGAATAATACTGAATGACAAAGTATTCTTGAGTCCGACTTATCTTCACAAATGAACTAATTTTTAAATATAAATAGCTTTCTTTGAAAGGTTATAAGGCTTAAGCCTCTTGTTATGATCAAAGAATCTATTCAACGCAGTTTTATAACATTGAATGAATTTTGAAAAAAAAATATGCTTTTTCGAAAGATACGAAAATAAAAACTTACGACAAATATCGGCATTCACTTGTTCTAAATGATATCTCTTTACGCACAATATGATCCAGGTCTCGAAATTGAGCCACTTTTTGATGGCCTGACCCGGCTCGACTTAGAATAGCACTATTAAAAGTATATTTCTTTTACCAAAAAGCATTTCTTCACTATCAAACTGAACAAACACCACGGTCATTTATAGGAACATTGTAAGAATTGTATTATCACAGTGATCATAAGTTGAGTAAAATCCGACAATTTTAATGTTTTGAAAAAGAACACTAGAGTCAAGCCAAACTGCATATTAAACAGAAAGGCTAATGTTTCTTCGTAGATACTCGAACTTCTTGATGACTATCATCCAAATAGCACAAGCTTTCACAAGAAAATAACCCGCTGATCAATTTCACCGAGTGAAATTGTTTAATATTTTTAGTTGTGCTGTTAATTTTAGCACATGATTAACCTAGTTACACTTCAGTGGAACCATGCACTTAATGCTTTTGATAGTGTGCTTAGATTTGTGCGTAGATGAATAATACAAGTGAACCAAATAAATTCTGTTTTTTTTTTTATATCAGATATAGAAAACTTCCAAACAGTTTACACAATAGAGATTCCAAGTTATGATCAGTTGCAAGACGCAAAGCCCATCTAAGAAACTTTAAGAAAAAATCGAGTATTTTTTAGAAAAAAAATTATTAAAATGATGATGTTTTATTCTGATTAAAATTTATTTTTTCAGTTTGAAAGATTGATTTCAATTCATTTTAGTCTCTTTTGATCGATTAATACAGTTTTGTACATTAAAACTCTCTCTTAAAATTCGATTAAGAAAGGCTGAAATCAATCAAAACCTATTTTCAAAGTGGAAAAATCAGATTTTTTCTATTTTCTGATGTGAAAACTTTGATGAAAATAGAGATGAAGTTCGGATCTGGCGGCCCGACAAAATTTTTAGCCCGCCCGGCCCGTTAGAAAAACCTGTTTGGGCCAGGCCGGGTCGGATGGTCCGTTTCGAGGCTTGACATGATCATATTGCTTTCTTTTTGTTTAATTCTATAATTCAATTTCGCCTACAAAAGTGGATCACTACGTAGGCAGGTCATTATCGATTTTGTATTGTTTTCGTTTCAGTGGCCATATGATTCTGTAATGGTAGCTTTTTTCTCGTCATTTATCGACAATGTCCAACATTAAAATTACTCTTTTCTAGTTTCCTTGTTATTGTTGTTGTTGCTATTCTTGCTACAATATGTGGTACTATGTTTTTTAATAGATCAGAGAATAGAGAAGATAGAGATATTTATTATAAGAATACGCTGTAACACCCCCCTCCCCCCGGGTCAAATAATAAAAATTTGTTTCAGAAGAAATCATTGAGCAACGAATTCGTCAACCTCAATTTGAAACCAATGAACTATAGTAAAAGAAGAACATCATTTATTTATTTGCATAAATTACTAATCCTAGTCTATATGAGCTATTTCATTCGTTAGGCACGTGACGTGGCAAAAATAAAAATGTGTATATCTTTGAAATCAGGTATTTCTTTTAGTTTATTCTTATGTAACAGACGTATTCTAAAAGTACGGAACAGTATTTGGAATGGGTATTTTGTTTTGTTTTTTGGTTTCTTTATATTATTTATCCTTTCAATACAAAAAAAGTCAGAACACCAGGTGTACCGTAAAAAACGCTTGGTCTTTTTTTTACCAGAACAAATGTTGTGAAAGCTTCCCAGAACTACTAGATGAGGTATCATGCTGGAGAAACGAGTGAAGAAACACTAATTTATTTTTAGAAAATTTCATTTTTAGAAAAATACACAACAAAACTGAATTTCAATTTTCTTTTAAAGACTCATCTTTTTTTCTTTCTATTTAAAGTTTTGTAGGTTTTGACTATTGAGCATAAGATGAGCTAGTTTTCTAGATTGAGAGAGTACTTTTTGTTTTATATTTGCAAGACTCTCGCAACGAGAGAGAAAAACAATATATTGGTTGAACGTTATCTCTTATTTTCACTTCTGTTTTGGAGAGAAGGAAAAGAACGAATCAAAGAGAGTGGAAACAGTTGGGAGCTGTGCAAATGACTGACAACTAAATCGAAAATACGCATTATTCTTTTCGAATTAATCATATTGTTTATATCTCGAGCTGAAGCCGCCATCCTACTATGACATGATCATCTACTAAAAATGAGATGACTAAAAGTAGATTAAACACAAATACGAAATATTTTTGGAAAAAAGGTAAAAGATCGATTTTTTAGAGATAGTAGGTATATGTATTAGTAAAAAGTAACAAAAAAATCGAAAAAAAATTTGATCTTCACTGCCAAAGAAGGGAATATCCTTAATAACTGAGATATTTTCGACTTTTTTCTATCATCTTAAACATCTTACTAAAATCCAGATGATGATTTGAATAGGCAAGCGAGATTTCTATCTATGGTATTAGAAGACCCTGTTGGAGCGAAGTTGCCACATTTTCCACGGGCTTCCCTTTAAAAGTTAACTTCATCATAGAAAATATGACGACTCCTCGTTTAGTCTAAAATTTTATGCTCTTTACGATAGTATGGCTAAAAAGATAGCTCAAATAAAATCTTCTAAGACCTGAAAACTACCATGCCTAGTGTTTTAGAAACTTTACCATCATAGTTCATCAATGAAATCTTGGTATAGAATGGATTAGATGGAAAACTCCATTGGCTATTTAAATTGTTATCTGAATTTGGGTTAAATGTTTGACATTTTAGAAAGAAAAAACAAAAATACTTTAGTTATGAAACTTTTTTCTACCATATTAGTTTATATAATATATATGTTATTACAGTAGAAGAATGAAGAAACACTCATGCAATTCAGTGCTTCATCTAGCAGAGTATCCTTTCACCTATCCTGAAGTATACCGGCTCCAATTAGAGCGAGGGTGATGATATCTTCTCTTTCCAAAAATGTTGACCTTTCTGCAAGATTTCTTCAGTCTTCGTATAAATTTGTGAGTTTGATCTGCTTGTGACAGAGATTCATATGAAGACACTTTCTGTCACGCAAAAATATACGAGAATTCAGCCTCTTCTACCCTCAAAAATAATCGGGAACCTTTTCTCGAATTGAGGGTCAACATTTGATATCTGTTTGTATTATTCTAACTTGTTGAATTTTAATCTCTAGTCATTCGAAAAAAAAATTCTCATATCATAGTTTCTGTTCTAGGTATGGTCGTTCAAGATATCATTTTTGATAATAAAGCATGCTATATAATTATGATATTCTATCAGCAGATAAATAAACAATCCAATTGTTACAAATAATCTTGGTCAAATTTATTTAACATCACCAATGCTCAATAAAAAGAATCTGAAGAGTATTTTAAATTAATTACTTTTCTATCATCATTATTCTATTGTCGTACAAATATATCGCTTATTCAAACATCTACATGGTCATATTTATTTGCGTAGCAAAAAGTAATCTTTTGTTTTCTCTACTTTTAAATATTGAAAACTATTTAAAGGGATGGCTAATTCGATGGATGATTGAAATAGAATCTTCAATCGGTACAATAAGTAGTGGAGCAAAAAATATTTTTTTAAAATAAATAATTGTTCACAATTAATTAAAATTAGCTCACAATAATAATGATACACAATGAGGATGAGTGGGTGCAGATGTGAGTTCGGGTGTGGGTGTGGTTTCTGTATATTTGGCTGAAGAATGGAAATAGTCATGAATCTATCAAGTCAACCGTTACGAGGGCAGATTTAAGAACAACTAAACAATATTGACGTGAAATAGTCAATAATTAGTCAATGCGATCAGATACAATCAATATAATTAGTCCAAATTGTTAATATAAAATGATAAGAAAAGCAAAAATTGGTTAGTTCTCTATAAAACTGGCTCTTAGAGATTTAGTACAAGACTTTTACATTGAAATACGTTATCTCTTCTTCGGCCAAAATTTGTCACTATGCTAGATATGGAAAACATTCATGGAACGAAACATACAAGTCGATATTTATTTCTCTGTTTGAAATATTTAAAAGCTAATCAAGTAGCTTGAAGTCTGATATCAATATTAAAGTAAACGTTAGACTAGCTTTATAGATGATTACATCATTTATTGAAAAATGTCTTTATTCTTAAAGTAAATACACAATTTTATTTTAACTTTCGTTCTTTATGTTTTAATATACGCTCACCGATGGTCAAGGAAAATGGTATAAAGAATTAATATATGAACAATAAGATTTAGATAATCATATTCCATTGAAATTATTAAATTTATTCAAAACAAAGTTCATCTTCGAATGATAAACATAAAATGTCAAAATTGGTTAATTGATATTTAAATATCATAAGAAATGTCTTTACATGATTTATCAACAATCAATGATTTAAATAAAAAATCCTATGATTGTGTATGGCAATTAGTCTGAAAACAAATTGAAGAAAAGTCTTCATCAGAGCAACAAGAATATGAGAGTAAACTAGGGTGTGAGTCGGCATAGACGTGGGATGATGTCAGTTATAGTATTGTTTCCATTTACACCAGCACCTCCATAGATATATATTGCCGATTTCAATGATTTTAGTTTCTATTGAGACTTTATGGAGCTATTGAATATTTAATATGTCTATTTGCTAGATGGGTCCCTTCGCAAAACGTCGACGTTTCGCAAAGTCATGTTTTTGAAACGCGTCTTGAAACTATCTCCATTTGAGGATCCCATATTGATTAGCTTGTATGAAGCTTTTTAGAGATTGTAACATTCGTATCCTCAAGCTCTAAAATTTTCAAAAATACACTCTTTTCGAAGCATAGTAAATAATACANTGTCTTTTTCCTTTCCCTTAGTATATGGGTGGAACAAACCCGGCGTTCTCACCCATATACGAAGGAAAAGAAAAAGACGTAAATCGACTTATCAGTAGATATAACGAATCACGAGTGAACGATTATGCGGAACTATTTTCATATATCTCTTCGTAAAAGCCGGAAATGAAAGTAACTGGGCGACGTCGATGATCGAATGTGTCATTAGATGGAATTCGTTTCTAGGTTTCCTTCTATTCATAGGGAATTTGCTATGTCTCTTCATTGCGATTATCCCAACCAAAAATAATGATCTTGTCGAGCATTTTTAATAATACAGTTGGTGCGATTGAATCGTGTGTTTTGTTGTTCTAACCATTCTATCGTAATTGACGGAACGCTTTTTCGTTGGATATGCACATGTAAACTGATCAAATGTTGCATCTTACGTAAAATAAAATCAATTGTATTGCTATGTGAATGAACACCTAACGACAAATGCTGACATTGTGAAGAGAAAATTGGCAAAATTTTTTCCAATTCATTTTTCTCAAAAAATTGTGATGAATTTCGGTTCGAACTAAAAGTTAATGAACGAATCTTTCGTGAGAGATGACGACAGATGCATATATCAGTCCAATTATTTGTCAATGCTTTTAGTGTACTTTTTTTGACGGCTAATGAACATAGATGTGGGGCAGTGTCCAATAAAATATTAAAATCTTCTAAGCATAATGATGCACCATCGCCAATAGCTATGTGCCGTAATTTAGTCAAGATATGGGTCCACGCTAGAGCATCGAAAGAAGTGTGGATTATCAAATTGATGACAGAACTTCCATCAAGCATAGGATCAGGCACTGAATAACTTTTGACGAGCAATGTATTGATGTTTGTGCGCATGTTGATACTTCGATAATCAATATCGTTCTTCGGCCAATCTAAAGTCTTCGTTTTTGAAAAAGTTTTAAAAACAGTAAATACTTCAAAAGAGAATGGGACTGTATAAAGAATAACGTGTCTCATATCGCTATTATACGTGCCATATTCCACATCATGCATAGGTATTTCATGCTGACCAGACACATTAAAACGTACGAAGGAATTCTTTTCCAAAGTATAGAATGGCGTAGAGAAAGAAGCCATAACTTGTCTAAGTTGGTTCAATTGGTGATCACGACATAAGATTTGAAAAACGAACTTAAAGTTTTTCAAGGATGGAACTGACGCAGATATCATTTGTGCCCATGTTTCACCATAGGGGAATGGTCCTCCTGGTTCCTTCTGATATACTTCAAGGTCAACTAATTGAGATAGATTTGTCAATGACGGTTGAATAAGTGCACAGTCTCGATAATCTTCATAAATGATCTTCAGATGTTTTAATGCGCACGACCAGACTAATAGTTTATTTTCCGTGCAACGACCTGCCATTGTATATTTAATCGTTTCAAGTCCAGTGAAATTCTATAGAAATGAAAAAGAATCATTCTTTATATTAGTTCAATGAGCTCCATCTGTCTTATTACTTTAAGCCAACATGTATTGGGACATGAAGTGAAAGTGAGCTTTTTCAAATTTGGAAGTTCGAATTCTGGAATATTATCTCCGCATAATGATTCAATCTCGAGTGATACCAAATTTGAAAGACATGGAAGTTGAGTAAATAATGGACAAGGATAATTTGGTATTATGTTAACGATAGATAAAGATCGTAGTTGTGAGAATTTATCGATAAAACCATGGTTTTCAAAGAAATAAGCCACTTGCCCTGGTGTATGCTCAGCATCGGAAAGCTTCATTGAATGCCATTCATCGGTGTTCTGATATTGAAAAATGGTATCAAAGTTCTTCTTACTGATTGATGTAAAGTCGAATTTACGGCAAAATTCAGCAAGTAAACTTTGAAAACGTAGATTCAAATTTAAGAATGCGATGGCTGCATCAACGCAAGTTGTATAAGATAAAATCTCAATAAATATTTCATTTGGAAGGCTTTCAAATTTATTAACCATGATGATATGCGCTGTATCAAACAGCGACGAATAATCTGCTTTGCTATTGACATTGGTCTTGCTCAACATCAACAAAATAACAACGATGCATGAATCACATGTTATTGTGTAATTGCATAGCGCGTGACTCATTCTTTCTTAACCCAATCTAGGACTTCGAATTCAATCATTTTTTTTTAGACAAGACAATCTAGGTTTTGATGTTATTCTGGGTTAAGGACGACATGACTTTCATTGGCAACCTTTGTAATCATGACTATAACAAATAAAACACAGGGAAACGGACATACCTAATGTTTCATGAATACACTAGATGTTTCGTAAGAATGACTCACGTGATAAAGAATAATAAAACGTTTAAATACGTCTTGCACACTATACAATTACTTGGCTGATATTTTGTAAGACATGCCATTGCTGAAATTCGAAACTTTGTCTAACGAAATTTTGATCGATTTTCTAGAAAACCATACCAATGTCGTCGATATATTTGTGGCATTCACCGAACAACTCAACAGTCGCATCGATCGTCTAATTGCTCAATATCGACAATGTCGATTCGATTTTTTTCCTTGTCGAAAGGACGATTTTCTCCTATGTTTGAACTTCTTTCCATTGCTGATTCATCGAATCACAGAACTATACTGATCAGAATGGAATACGCCAGTTCAAATTCATACATTTCTATCATTCTTTCCGTCGTTCAAGCCATTTAAAAATCTTTGTACATCATATTTTCATTTCGATACTACAAGTGTGAACTCAACTAAAGTAGACAGTGCACTTCTCTCTTTGAAACATCTGAAAAATTTAAATAGTTTATCAAACAAAGTGGCAAGCAGATTAAACAGATCGTCTTTGTTGATTATGTTTGAACTATTTCGTTTATCAGGGTAGGTGTGGATGTGGGTCTGGCTGTTTCACTGACTAAGCCCCGCCCCCCCCCCCCCCCCCCGACCCGCCCCCCCGGCCCGCCCCCCCCCCAGGCCCCCACCACTTGCGGGTGTTGCGTCTGGGTTTGGGCCCG